CAATGATTGAAGTTTTTGAATGCCTGTCCCTCTGCAATCTAAATAATCGCAATTATCTAGTTAAAATAAGCGGATTTGCTTTATTACGACCGTCACACACGCCACACGGAAAGACGGTGAGTTAGAGCCTGCAACAAGTTACAAGGCAATACGATCATCGGAAAACTGTCCAAACTGTTCAAAGTCTGTTTAGCCAATTATCTCAGTATCTCAGTGTACAATTACAGGTCAACGCAACCAAAATTTCATCCAAAATGATTCGCAAATGAGGGTATTTCTCGAAAACAATTTGGGTTCAAGTACAACTAAAGGTTGACGGAAACTCGGGGACTGCGCCTACCTGATGAGCCCCAAGAAAGGCGAAACCGGTCGTCGGCTGTCGAAGAGTTTTCAGCAAGCTTGTGAGTAGTTTCCTTTATGAAAATATCCTGCGATATCTCAAATAGCATCCCAACTAAATCATGAGGCGGCCTGTGTGCAGCTCATTCAGTTGTAGAATATCATAAACGAGAGATTCAGTTGAGTCTCTCGTGAAAGCCAAATTGATTTGTAAATGAGTGTATTTCTCGAAAAATTCATCCAGTTAGGAAGCTGTACCTGCTTCAGTTACCGAATCAGGCAACTGCAAAAAAACGGCAGTCACCTGATATTAGCTACAATAAAACGAATCAGGAGTCGACCCACCCAAAATAAGGCGAAATAGAACAGCGGACACGGCTCGGAACTGCGTCCGGAAATATTTTCTGTAAACTGCTGAGGCGTAATGATCTCACCCAAGGGCCAAGCAGTTTCTTTACCAATTTCAAGAGTCAAGAAGTGGTGTCAGAGCAGAAGCTCCAACGTACGATTTTGCCGGATTCAGCAAACCCACTGACGACCAAGTCACCTGCACTAATTCAGCTGTCCGTTCTCAACAAACTAGCTTGGAAGCAGAGCCATGATGCTTTGCTGCCAGTGATCGGCTTCACTATGAAAACGAAAGACCGTCAGATTGCATCCTTGACGTGCACGGTGGAAAAGTGGGCGAGAGAGAGCGTCAGCACCTTGATGTCCAGTCTTGCAGTGGATCAAGTGAATCACTCGTTTAAAGCGCTCTGTATGGGATAAGCCAACCAACTTTTCCAACGGTTTCAATTATTTCAACAATACACGCAGTTTACTGAACCCGTCGATCAGTACGATCTGACAAAGTCGTGCAACTTTTATGAATCCATGAGGGATAGTCTGATACGAGATAGATTTATCCTCGGAATTCATGTTGAAGTCATCACCAAGAGAGTGCCAGTCATCTCTGAGCCTGAGTATCAATATATGCCAAAGTGTGGCCGCAGGTGTGTCGTATGAGGCTTTTGACGCGGTGTTTCCACTAACGACCTAAATGGCGCTGAATCGGAGGATTCTGACATGTGTAGCAGAGCAAGGCTCATGAAGATTGAAAGAATTGGCCAGCTTGAATACCAGGTCGCAAAACATGAATCATTTCTTCAGAGAGTACCGTTCTATGGCCATGAAATCGTTGTAGTAGATCGAAAAGGAACGGCTTCGCCAGAATGGAGTCATAGATCGTGCCAACGGCGCAATAGTTTTGAAGGGGCTTCCCGTTCAATGATTTCGACGATAGTTTCAAAATGGTATCGACGCAAGCCGGAACAACATTCATGAAAACTACATCGGAGCTGCCCAAATCGATGAAATGGATGTCATTCTGCGTACATGAAACGGGTTAGGTTTAGGGTTGGAGAAGGGTCCACCGCAATCCTCGGTCTTCCAACAATTCAGAAGTTTGTATTATCGGGTCTTTCTGATCCAGGTCTTCATAAAAGTCTAAAGACATTAGTTGCGAGCAGTTACCATGTCGGTTTACTTTCAACAGCCGCAGGCACAAAACGTTTAACAAATGTGGTAACGACGGTTTGTTCACATCAAACGACACATTGCCTTGAGGAAACGGGTGATTCTGGTTCCATTCCAAGTCAGTCGAACAGCTCGAATCAATAACTTATGTGCACACCGTTTGGTTTGTTGTACTCTTAGTGGCAACCCTTCATTAAAAGTGAATACTTACCGGTTTTTGTCTGCGTAACGGCAAGGCGAAATTATTGGCAGCATCAGCCGGGTAGACCGACTCAAAAATGTTTTCAGATCGATTACCTCCAGCTCCTTCTGGCTGTTGGTAGTGTTGTGTCGTCAGGACAGTTGTAGCTGATTTAGAGCATGTTCCAAGATCTTTTGTCAAAGATTTAGACCAGTTCTGCCGACAGACGTCTCATCGCAACTGGAAGTGGATATGCAGTGCTAGATGACCACACAAGTTATGGGACCTATCTAGAACAGCCCCACGGGTTGTCAAGACCAAGTGCAGCTGACCTCCTCTATCAATGCAGTTCAAACAGGAGTGAAGTTTCGGCTTGAAAAATGACCACCTTTGAATTGTAGATACACTACTCTCTCTTCCTAACTGTGGGGACCAGATTGGGTGGAGGGTGTGGTTTGAACTCTTCTGGGGTAGCTGATTGCTGACCGGGTCCTTTTCAGTGGTTGATCGGTAGTTCATCGGTTGTACGCGTAAGTTCAGCTTTGTGGAACAGGGTCTTGACTAGTTGTCGCTTGTACATCCTCTCGGAGAAAAGCTACTTAATTACAGACACTGACCACTCCGCGTATGCTACAAACTCCCATCCGGATATCGGATAAGTATGACATCAAGGAAGGCTCAACTGCTGTGTGCCCCACCGTCTCGGGATACGGACAAATTGGGGTGAATATTATCTAAAATATCAAAAAATACTTGAATGCTGATTGGCTATGACAATGAAATTATCATCAACGTTTCACTCATACAGTGATATACCCTAATTAATATAAAATTTGGGTCTTTAACCTTACTTAAAGGAACCCAATCGACCACCCATTGTGCTACCGCCCCCTTGCCAATGGGTAGTTTATTCAAATCCAAAGTGAATGTTTTTTGTTCACAAATAACACCATTACCGGAATACACAAGAAGATGGTAATCGCGGTAATATAGTCTCTTACGTAGTTAGCTGTTGAACTTGCGGGACACTGGTGAACAAGGAACAAACTGTCAGGAAGGCGAGATTCCTGAAAATCATCCCAGAATCCCCGAAACTTACTGAGACCTTCACATTCCACCAAAATCGCAGTTGGTAATCCGGCATACATCCGTGTCAGAAACGCCAGTTGAACGTTGAACGCTTAGTCAGCTCGACGATAGCCGATAATGGAGAGTTTTTAGGTGTGTCATAAAGGCACCGCCAGCCAATCACTCACTGCCGATCCGACAGCCTGGATTCACGGTCAAAAGTACGATGTGGAATTTTTCTCTACCATTGGCCAAGAACATTTCCTCAATTTCGGACCAAAAGGGGATCTGTTTTAATGCTGTCACTCCAATTTTTCCAAGTTATTTAATCCCGTTAAAAATTCCTAGATGTAATTGAGTATGGATATTTCAGCTGGTCTATTTAAAATTGCATCAGAACCTGTAAATTGCTTGTAAAGTCAATAGTTTTCATATGGGTGATACTTTTCAGCTCCTGCAACTCATTTCCCCTGGGCATCAGCGGTAGCGTTTCCTCTGCATTCATAGTCACGTAAAGCTCACAAGTTTAGGCTCGATATCACCATTAGTCGAGAGAGTTTGCTGCTTGTGAAGTCCATCTTGGCGTCACAGTTGCATTCTTGCACAAGCAACCAGCCGTTCTGGAATTACAGCTCATCGTACATGGATTTACCTACCAGGTTTTACAGCCATCGGACTCAAGTCACGTTAAATCACACTTTTCGAAAAGGCAGCTGTATCAGTCCCGGTGGTCTGGCGAAAGATGATATTTCCATCCGGTCTGGGAAGGCCAGAGCAGCTTTTGCGAACTTACGTTACCTGTGGCGTAGGCGTGACATCAGCTTCTCTGTCAAGGATCGAGTTTATAATGCTGCGGAGCGCTCCATATTACTATATGGATCAGAAACCTAGCCACTGCATGCCGAGGACGTCAAAAGACTTTCAGTGTTTGACCATCGATGTCTTCGGAGCATTGCCCGAATCTGGTGGGTACACCGGGTCAGCAATGCTGAAGTACGTCGAATGGTATTCGGGAGAAATAACTCACCCTCGATGGATGAACTGACCATACCGCATAGGTTGCGCTGGCTTGGCCACGTGCTGTGTATGTCTGTCGACCGACTTCCTCGAAGGGCTCTTTCCACACATCCATGTGAAGGGTGGAAGAGAGCCAGAAGCGGTCAAAAAATGACTTGGCATCGGAGTATGAAGGCCATTACCAGCAAACTCAGCTGCGTTGGTCACTGCCGTCTTCCTGGATGGGGACCCAGAGACGGGCCACATTAATGGCTAGAGACATTGTCAGACATGGCCCAGTCGCGCCCTCAATGGCGGCCGTGCATCAAAGCTATTGCCTTCAATACATAGTTCCTTTTCCAACCCTCCACTTGACAGCCCACTGACAGTGCTGGATTTATGCACTAATTTACCAGCTCGCGCCTGCAATGCGCAGCTACTTACCCCCCCCCCAATCATCGGTGAACGAAACTGTGGCAGCTACAACCAGGGTACGACCAG